GCGGTCGGGAAGCTGTTAAGAAGGTTTAGTAGCAGTAAGGCATTTACCAGCGGGAAAAAAACCCCAGGGCCAGTGCATCCAGGAGACCACCCAACGCTGCCCAGGGAGTGCGCACAGGAAATAGATGCGGGGGACATTTAGAAACGTCCACCCGCATTGGCAGCGCTCCCGTCCGGGCGTTTATCGATATGGGCTGGACGGGAAGAGGTTAGGTAGCAGTAGTGTTTACCAGCAGGAGAAAAAAAAAAACCTAGGGCCACTGTGTCCTGGAGCACCAGTGCTTTGGCAGAAAAACACTTGATGCGCCTAAACGCGCCTAAACTCTGGGTGCATTTAGCGCTAGAGCATTACTTTATTTCAATGGCCAGAATAAATGATCATTCTGGCCAATGAAAATAATTAATTCCCTAGTGTTGACTCTTGTAAACGCACCTACATGCTTGTACAAGTGTTATATACTTTCACAAGCACCAGGCGTTTTTCTTGCAAAAAAAGGACAGCTTGTAGGAGGGTTTTTCTTGAACGTCCTGTATGCATGAGGCCTGTAAGCTGAGCACTTTTTCAGCTTTGGGGATTAATACTCCTTTAATACAGATTTCCTGTGTTCATGTGAAAGTCATTATCACCACCCACACATTAGCATAAACCGTATTTTGTCCATCTCTCTGCACAGTTAGCTTCCATTTACCTCATAAAGAAAACAGCAGTGTAAGGGGATTCTGTCGGAGGCTGTGGGAAGTAATCCTATACAGTGTACCCTTCTACTACTGACTCACTTGTGGCTAGGGCATATTTTCCACATTATCATTAGCTTACTTCACGTCTAAACTCATCAATGAGGGTGTGGTACATACTTTGCACTTCACAGACTCGTCCCACACTTATACACGCTTGTCAAATGTCTCTTCATCTGTTGTGTTCAGCACAGGTATGTACTGTTTTCATCGTCAGCATGGGAATTAACAGTGCTCATTACCAGAGCTCGGCAGCCATGTACAGCCATGTACAGAGTCAGCAGCGAAAGGGAAAGGGGTGGGGATGGTGCTGGGCTGACTGCATGAATCACTGACTGCTGTGCATATTAACACGATTTACGTCTTTCTTCCAATAAGAACTTCCTGAAGATTAAATAAAAATAAAGCCTCTGGAGACACAAGAGAAATAAAGCAGCCTGTGGAGAACTTGAAACTGACTGAGCAAGATGCTGCTGAAGGGCCTTCTCATTTTTCCTCCCATCCTTTGCCTCTTGGCATCATATGCTGCAGCAGGGTAGGAATCCTAATATTTTTTTCTCACAATAGGAACTGTTACATAGATTGGAAATAGTTACTGTATTCTAAGTTGGTTGTTCTGGTAATGAAGAACAGTCCGATAGGTCATTTGCACAGCGACAGGGAATACTGGGGGGGCTCTGTTACGATTTACACATTATTTCTTGTCTATGTGAAAGCGATAGCTCTTTTTATTACTTAATAACAGGGGAATTCACTATATAAAGTACATGTACGACGAGCCAGCAATATTTATTTTGTATCTTTAGTCGAAAAGGAATGTTTCTGCTCGGTAACTGCAAGAGGTTTTGGGAAGGTCTAAAAAATATCACTTAGCCCATTTTAGTGTTTTATAAGTTCCTATACCTTGTTTTACGATTGTACTTGAAGTGAATGTTGTACTGTATAATGTCATTTCTTCCAAATCTGGCAAAAGCTGCTTGCACAAGGATTTATCAGCTTTCTTAAGCGTTCTAGAAGTTTTGCTAGGCTTGCAAAACTAAAATAGTGAAGTCCATCTGTTTGGATGAAATGGAGACACAAATGCTGCAGATGTCTTACCATAATTTTGTATCAAGTGTGTCCAAAAATAATGTGTCAGCTATTTCTGAGTAACCCTTACATGGACAATGATTACATGCAAAGCAGGATTACATTAAAAATTCTCTTCTAAGGTTGACAGCGAAAACTATTTTTGAGGAATTATTTGAAAAATCCACAGTACATTTTTACTTCTTTTTAACTCTAGACCGAGCTGCTGAATGACATTAGCATTGTATTGGTACAGAATGTGTTCCTTGCAGCTCTACTGAGCTATCTCAAGCTCCCACCTCTTTAGAGAGATAGGTGATATTTTCACTGTGTCATGTGCTTGTAAAGGTGCCTGAGATGATAATGGAGGCCTCTTGCACAGTTCATGTTTGAGCACCGGTGGAAGTTAGGACAGGGTCTGCAATGGTGACAGAAGGGCATAAGTGCCAGGGTGCAGACACTGAAGACTGGAACTTGGGAGTGTTGTTATCAGTTGAACAGGGGTACAACTGGTGGTACACCATGGATACACCAAATTCAGTTAAATGGTAAAAATAGCAAATAAAAAAATGAATATAGCAAATATCAATACTCAAACTTTCCACTAGCCTGCTTGCATTTGGCGAGTGGAAATAACATGGGGCAAGTGTGTCCCAGGCACCACATTGGAGGGGGGGGGGAAGGGTGCCACCGAATGCTGTGTTGAGGGAGGGCACACTGCTGGTGCCGCTCCTAAGTGACTGGAGTGATCGCCTACACTTGCTGGTGGGAGAATTAGGCTTTCTCCTCCCTCCAGCCTGCAGGGGGTGATAGACAGCCAGTACTAAAGAGTGAAGGCAGAGTGTCCTTTCTCTTTCCCCTTGTTATGTGACTTATCACATGACTGAAGGAGGAAAAGAGGGAGAAGCTGCATTCACAAGAGGATCTGGGAGTGCAAGGGGGGTTACAACTGATGTAAGGGGGTACTGTGCTGGGGACACCTGATGCAAAGGGAGACTCTGCTGAGATATCTGATGTAAAGAGGAACTCTAATTTGGACACCTGATGTAAAGGGAGACTGTGATGGGGACATCTGATATAAAGAAGGACTCTAATGGGGACACCTGAGGTAAAGGGAAACTCTGATGGGGGCACCCAATGTAAAGAGGGACTCTGATGGAGAAACCTGAAGTAAAGGGAGACTCTGATGGGACACCTGATGTAAAGGGGGTCTCTGAGCTTTTTGTTAATATTGATAAAGTTATTTTTTATTTTTGTAACGTTATTCTGCATAAAACATTTAACTGTGTCATTTCATGAGATAATTTATGAGGGCATGCATAGGGGCAGAATTAGGGATGGGGCAGGGTAGGGGTTGGGTGGGGCAACTGGTGATGAGTAACTCCTAAGGCCAGCTAGTAGCTCAGGACTTGATATTTTGAGCCCTGGCATATACTATTGTGACACAAGTCATGTTGTAATTGAATGTTATTAAAAAATGATCTTTCCTTTTCAATCTGCACTGCTGCAATTTTCTGTAAAATACATTGAAATATGGCTACCTACAAGAATTCTGTAGACAGATGATATACAGAACTCCTCCCAGAAATGTTATTTCCTGCTTGTGTTATTGGCTCACTGACTTTCCCAGAACTCTGCCCTAAGGTACAAGTCAGATTTTGAGCATCTGCTGCAACAAACATTTCATTTTTGATGAAATACTTCCAAAGGAAAACACATCTGAAGGGATGCAGACCTTGTCTATTTCCTCATTAGAGCCCTGTAGGTGCAGCATCTGATTGATAATTATAAAACCACTACCATTAGACTCACTCTGCACATGGACACAGACAAACAAACAGCTCTTGCTTCAGAATAAGAAAAAGTTAGAAATCTGCGTTAAAATCCTTGCACTGTGCATAAATCACCCAGAGGGAAATGGCATTTTCTCAACCAAAGTGGAGTTACTCTTTAAGCTGATTTGTGTAACAAGACAGATCCAGTAACAGCTGAACAAAAGGCACCATATTGTGGGCAGGGTCAGAGTTCGAAAGCAAAAATGGTTGGCAGCATGCAGGCAGCGAGGTCCTAAGTTGATAGGCTGAATCTTGGTTAGAAGTCCAGGCCAAGGTCAATAATGGAGATGAGCAGCAATCACAGATAGACGGGGTAATCCAAAGCATGTCAGGTGGAAGCAGGGTCAATAATAAGGTTTCAGGATCCATGGGGGTAAAGACTGAAAGACCATTCAGCAATGATCCTAAATAACCTGCTTGGCAACAATATCTGCTTGTGCATACGTAGTGATGTGTGCATGATGGTGTACAGGCTCACACATGCATTAATCTGACAGCTGAGATGATGTTCTAGGCACTGTAGTTCTACCAATACATCTCCTAGCTTTCTGAATGTGTACTTCATATTATGTCAGATTCTGCAAGGCATAAACAGTCCAATTCCTCTCCTATCAATTCTTGTGAAACAATGAGATCCTCCTGATGAACATAGTAACAGTAAACATTACTTTAATACACTAGCACAAGAACAAGTCTGAATAACTCCAAATAACATTTGAAAGATTCAAAACACGCCTATAAACACTTTGCTGCTGTAGTGCCTGTGCCAACAACAGTGCACACATATTACAGCGGTGACAGATGTACTCTCTGTTTTATTTCAGGATGACAGCCTTAAGCTGCTCTACACAACTTGCAATGACAGCATCTTTGACAATGCAGGCTAAGTGTATCTGTGCCAATTCTTCTGTTCTATGTGGCAGTAGGCTGACACAAAAGAAATCTGACTGCCTGTAGCTTGGCTTCACCCATCCACCATAGCTCAACAACCTATAATCAGCTACTTTTACAGTCCACCATACATGAAATCCTTCAGGGCCCCCCTTGTACCAATCCCCCATCTCCAGCAACTTACCAATCCTAAATAGGCAGATCTTAACATTTTTTCTCATTCAGCACAACACATGATGTCACCCAGTTAAGCAAAAGGGTGTTTCACAAGCCTAGTAAGACCATTATGGTGATTATGTAAGGGTGAAACCTGACCATTCCTCTATATGACACTGGTTAGGCAGCATTTGAAGTGTAATACACATGTAAAAGTGGAACTGCTACAGGGCAGCAGGGGTGCACAAAATCGCGTATATATACGTGATTTTGTGTTTCCGGGTAGGGGCATGTGCAGCTTATAAGAAATCCCTACCCACGCCGCCACTCGCAGCCACGGCTGTCAATCACCAGGTCCCGATCCCGGTTTGTTTACTAACAGTCCTCCTCCCTGTTGGCTCGGGCACACCACTTTGGATGGCTATGCACAGCACAGCCATCCAGAGCAATGTACATACAGTGAAGCACCAACACACACCGCCTCCCAGTAAAAACACTCACAGCACACAGTTAACCCTTTGATCGCCCCTCATGTTAACCCCTTCCTGCACAGTGCCATTAGTACAGTGTCAGTGCTTTATTTTAGCACTGATCACTGTATTGGTGTCACTGGGGATGTCAGTGACACCAAGTCAGTTCCCCCCAGTGTCAGAATGCCCGCCCCAGTCCCAAAGTCCCACTATAAGTCGCTGATCACCGCCATAACTAGTAAAAAAAGAAAAATTCCAGTATATATGCCGAAATTTGTAAACGCTATAACTTTCACGTAAACCAATTAATTTGCATGTATTGGTATTTCTTTTTTAGCAAAGACATGTAGCAGAATACATTTTGACCTACATTTATGATGAAATTTGATTTTTTTTTTTTTTTTTTTTTTCTAGACATGTTTAATAGCAAAAAGTCAAAAATATTGTTTTTTTCTCAAACTTCTCAGTCTTTTTTTTTTACAGCGCAAAAAATAAAAAATCCACAGGCGATCAAATACCACCAAAAGAAAGCTCAATTCCTGGGGAAAAAGGCTGTAAATTTTGTTTGGGTGCAGTGTTGTATGACCGCTCAATTGTCAGTTAAAGTACTGCAGCACCATAACGCAAAAAATAGCCTTGTCAGGGAGGGGAGTAAATCCTCTGGAGGGCAAGTGGTTAACAGACTTTTTTGTTTGTTTACACAGACTCCTCTTTAGTGAAGAAAAATTATGAAATGGGAGTAATTTACTAAAACTGGAGCAGACAGATTCTGGAGCAACTGTGCATAGTAACCAATTAGCTTCCAATGTTAGTTTGTTCAGTTAAAGCTGAATTCTGTTGGTTATGTGTTAGAGAAGACACTGGTAGCTTGTGATGAGGCAGAACTTGGTTACTTGTGTGGCTTAAGTTGCAAACATACAGAACACATTTCAGCAATCTGTAACAGCAGACATCTTGGTTTTGAAGAGAGAGAGAAGAGAGAGAGAACCAACAAGTTTTACACATATGCACAACTGGTAACCTTAGTGTACAGTGCCATCTACTGGTCAAGTGATATTAACATACAATACTGTATATAGTACATGCTGTTGCATACCCAACAAATTCCACGTATTGATTTTATTGCATAGTTACATTTATCCAGCATGTACCAAGGTAAGTATTCATATGCCATACCTGTGGGACTAATGCCAAGCAAGCCAAAGCATGTATAACTAGCACAACATAGATCTTCAAAACAGTGTGCAAACATTTAATAAAATGATCTTATCAAAGCATAAAAGTGCAAGTTCCAGGGCCATGTAGTACCCCATCATCAGGAATGTGCTGTGCAAGTGCCCCACATAGTTACTATGCAGAAGGACAGGCACTCGATGTGGGATCCAAAAGACAGAGGTGTTCATTGTAGCAACAGTGACTGCATATTTACAGAAGCTGATCAGTTGCCATGCACAGTTGGCTGCTCCAGTCTTAGTACATCCCATTCACATAGGAGAAATAATACAGGGGTGGGTTCTAAAACTAGTGATCACTTTGGCTGGGTATCAGTGATTATATCCCTGGGAGCTGGTCTTATTGGGTCTTGATTGCTACTCTAAGACCAGGCGCTGACGCTGACAGCTCTCCATGCTGGGTGCATGTAATTGAGTGTGCTCGTAGAGCAAACACATTTGCAGCACCACAGCAGAAAGCCCACTTCTGTGAAGCCCCATATATAAGTTGTGCAGTAATCAATGGTGCTGTCACTTGACGCTGTCTCTGACAAACCCAGTCAGCATACCACTGTGAAAGCCCAAACTAGGATGTTGACATCTATGGTCACAATTAGAGATGAGCGAATCGAACATGACGAAGTGGAATTCGTTCCGAAGCTTTGGAAAAATTCTATTCGCGACGAATCTGAAGATTAACAAACTTCGGATGCACGAATCGAATTTTCCCAAAAATGGTGGCGACATGTGTGGCGACGGAGAAAATGGACAGAGAAGATGGGGCGGGGATCTCTGGGAAGGCGCGCAGACAAGGCGCGCTGACCCATAATGCATTCATGACATGTGATCGCATTAGCCAATCAGCAGCCAGCCAGCACTGTGTAATGGTGGAGCTATAAATCGCGGCCATCTTAGAATTCTCCATTAGCCTCCGGTCATTCAAGAGAGACAGACCTGTGTGTATTAAGGGACAGAGTTAGGGCCACAGAGACTTTAGGGCCACATAATTGTTACTCAGGGACACAGAATCGTTACTCAGGGACACAGAATCGTTACTCAGGGACACAGAATCGTTACTTAGGGCCACAGCTATCAAAGAATCGAAAATTTAAAGTGACATACACCTTTTTTTTTTTTTTGGTGGCTGTCGTGCACAGTTGGTGCTGCAGTTTGCCGATTGTGCAAAATAAACTGACTTTCTGCTTCACAACCACTATTGTACGTTCAAAGAGTTAAATCCATTTACACGCCGGCTGGCGGTAATATTTTTTGGGTGATTAGTGCATTCCAGTGACACAAACGTACAGTTTCCAGTCAACGGCAAGCTGCAATTGACCGATTGTGTACAATAAACTGACTTTCTGCTTCACAACCACTATTGTATGTTCAAAGAGTTAGATCCATTTACACGCCGGGTGGCGGTAATATTTTTTGGGTGATTAGTGCATTCCAGTGACATAAACGTACAGTTTCCAGCCAACGGCAAGCTGCAATTGACCGATTGTGCTAAATAAACTGACTTTCTGCTTCACAACCACTATTGTACGTTCAAAGAGTTAAATCCATATACACGCCGGGTGGCGGTAATATTTTTTGGGTGATTAGTGCATTCCAGTGACATAAACGTACAGTTTACAGCCAACGGCAAGCTGCAATTGACCGATTGTGTACAATAAACTGACTTTCTGCTTCACAAGCACTATTGTACGTTCAAAGAGTTAAATCCATTTACACGCCGGCTGGCGGTAATATTTTTTGGGTGATTAGTGCATTCCAGTGACCTAAACGTACAGTTTACAGCCAACGGCAAGCTGCAATTGACCGATTGTGTACAATAACTGACTTCTGCTTCACAACCACTATTGTACGTTCAAAGAGTTAAATCCATATACAAGCCGGGTGGCGGTAATATTTTTTTGGGTGATTAGTGCATTCCAGTGACATAAACGTACAGTTTACAGCCAACGGCAAGCTGCAATTGACCGATTGTGCTAAATAAACTGACTTTCTGCTTCACAACCACTATTGTACGTTCAAAGAGTTAAATCCGGTTTTATTTTTGGGGTGCTTATTGAATTAAAGAGTATGTCAGACAACACGCAGAGGAAAGGCAGAGGAGGCAATGTTTCAGGAGCGAGCAGCAGACGTGGCAGCAGAGGAAGGGGTCGAGGGCAGCACTAGTCGCACCCAGAGGCCAGTGCTCCCGGTGTCATCCAGCGGTCGTGTCTCCACCGACAACCCTGCCGTCATCGATTGGTTGACTCGGTCGTCTTCCTCTTCCCAGGTCTGCTCTACACGCTGCTGCCAGGTCCATACTGATTCATGGCCCCCTGTACCGGCTCCTCATGAACGTGGTTCAGCGGGTTTGCATCACTTAACGGCAAATCGTTGACAAACGCTGGGACGTTCAGTGTTGTACGCATTAAGCCAGACACCAAAGGGCAGCACAGACCTGTTATTACTCGCTCAAGCATGGCTGAACAAAACCAGTCTCTACCCACAAATTGGACCTAGACCTGCCCAGGGTCTCGTAAGTAGATTGCACGGAGGAGTAGAGTTTGTTATTGAATTTAACTGTGAGGACTTTTAAACCTAGGCCTGTGTATGGCCTTCAATTGAAGCTGCTTCTGCTCCGCCACTCTGCCATTGGACTCTTGATAGTCGTCTCCCCACGCTGCTGCTGGGGGGACTTTTTAACATAGGCCTCTGTATGGCCTTCAATTTTAGCTGCTTACGCTCCGCCACTCTGCCATGGGCCCCTGTACCGCCTCCTCATGCTGCTGCACAGGGGCCCCGTAATCTGCCATGGGCCCCCGTACCGACTCCTCATGCTGCTGCCAGGCCCGTAATCTGTCCTGGGCCCCTGTACCCGCCTCCTCATGCTGCTGCCAGGTCCAGAGTGTGTCATGGGTCCCTGTACGACCTCCCATTGCTGCTGTCTCCATCGCCACACTCTGCCATGTGCCACTTTCAGGTCTCCTCACACTGCTGGTGGGTTCCATTTTGTCATAGGGTGCTGTATGGCATCCCCATTGCTGCTGCCTCCACCGCCACACTGTGGCTCCACACTGTGGTTTTGGCCCCGTGACTACCCAAATGAGTGAAGTGTGCGGTGATTCTAAGATCGACGGCACTCATCTGCATGTCATACTGACTGACAGTATTATTTCTCTTCCCCAGCAGACTCCAAGGGCATTTAAATTAAAGGTACAGTGTTTCTGCACTAATATAAAGGCTCTTTGAAGCCTAGAAACACCCTTTTTATAAGTTTAAATTCGCAGCGAAAATATTCGGCTCGAAGCGAATTTATTCGGCGAATTCGGCGAATCAGCCGAACCGAATTTTTGAATAATTCACTCATCTCTAGTCACAATGAAGGGTCTGGTAGTGGAACACCATCAGCTTCTAACTGGTGATAACCTGACATAAATGTTTTCTACCCAATGCTTTGATTTAAAAATGTTTCTCCTCCTTTTTCCACATGTTCAATGAGAAGAAAGAAACTAGACTTCAACATAATGTCTGTGGAATTTGTGTCTCACAGTTAGCCACACTTGCCAACTGGGCACTTTTACCCCCTTTGTGCCCAGGCCAATTTTCCGCTTTCAGCACTGTCGCACTTTGAATGACAATTGCAGTCATGCAAACACTGTACCCATACAACATTTTTATAATTTTTTTCACACAAATAGAACTTTCTTTTGGTGGTATTTAATCACAGCTGGGTTTTTATTTTTTGCACTATAAGCAAAAAAAGAGAAAACAATTTGAAAAAAAAAAAAGTGTTTCTTTGTTTCTATTATATAATATTTTGCAAACAGCTAATTTTTCTCCTTCACTGATGTGCACTGATGAGGCTGCACTGATGGATACTGATAGGCAGCACTGATGGGCACTGATGAGGTGGCATGGATAGGCAGCACTGATGAGGTGGCACTGATGACGCGGCACTGGTGGGCATTGATGAGGCGGTGGGCAACACTGACTGATGGCACAGACTGACAGCACTGAC